GGAAAAATAAGCTTGATTTATACAATAGACAAACTTTAGAACCTTGAACTCCATGGAGGTGTATGTAAATAGCTTTGGACAAAAGTGGCTTTTTTTTCATAGGAACTAAAAAGGAGCCGTTACTTTGTTTATAACTTTATTTTTTTGTGTATTTAGTTTTAAATATGGGAAAATATGGAATGAGACTATTTACCTTTGATACAAGATGGTCACATTAATCTTGACCATTGGATGTGAAATTGGGTGGCTGCAATTATTCTATTGACCACGACCAATTTTCAAAAAGAAGTTTTCTCAAACTTTGTAACACATCCAAGCTATCAAATTTCACATCAAACAGTTGTGAGGAATTGTGACCACCTTGTATCAAAGATAAATTATCTCATTGTATACAATCCCTTTAAATATTATGAAAGACTTTTTTAGTCTATGAAACTTGTGCTTTCTTGAGTCGATGAAACTTGTCTATAATATAGAGCCCAATGTCAAGCACTATAGTTGTATGGTTGATCTTCTTGGGCTTGCAGGTTTTCTCGAAGAGGCATGGGAGGACATCTCTAGTATGCTTCTAGTTCAATTGAAGTAAAATGGTGTTGTTCATGAGTTTTTAGCAGGGGTTATTGAGATAAAGAGAAGCTGCTCATTGGTGTCACTGGACACTGATGAGGAGGGCTATAAACCACACCTCTCAAGTGTCGCCAGACATTAATGAGGAGGAAAATGGAAGCTGCTCTTTAGAAACACAGTGGGAAGATTGCAATTGTATTTTGGGACTTCAAGTACAAATCCTACCCCAAAGCGAATAGTAAAGAACCTAAGAATATGTTCATGTACAAATTTTTGGTAAAATGGAAAATTGCCTCAAGATATATTGAAATTGGTTAAAACCATTTTTAAGTTCAAACAAAGTTTTTGCTCTATATACAATTTTTTTTTTTTTGGAGTAAAGTTAACTTTTGCTCTATGTATAAATTAAAATTGAATTTGTTACAAGACGCCTCCAAATGGATTTTCTCTATTAAATAAGAGTATAAACCATTTGAATAGTAGAGTACCACGGTCCAACACAAAATTGTGCCAGAACCAAAAGGGAATATGAGGTCCAGCACAAAAGTATGGCTTCTGGAATTCCAGAAGCCTCATGACATGGTCCGCCACAAACACTTTTGTGCCAGATTGTGGTAAAAAGTGGGGTCCAATACAAAAGTGTGCAAGATTGACAAATTTTGCGCTGGACTGCTTAATCCTCTTTCGTTTTGGCACACTTTTGCGTCGATCCAGTACACTTTCGATTCTGGCTTTTGAAATTTCAGAAGCTTCATGACCGATCCAATATACTTTTGTATTGAATTGCATTTTTTACCACTGTCTAACCCAAAGTGTGTGCTAGACCGGCTTCCAGATTGAATTTCGAAAGCCGCGTGAGCTAACCCATCACACTTTTATGGTGGACCGCATTTTTTGCCATGTTATGCAGGTTTGACAAATTTTGTGCTGGAGCGTTTTCTATTTTTTTTCCGAGATGTGTGCCACGTGAGGTATGGAACATTTTATGGACGGAGGGTGTACACAAAGTGCACAAACAGTGCGATTTGGATTTTTCTTTTTGTTCCTTTTTTTTCCCGAGATTAGTCTATGCGTTAACGACGTTACACCCCAAAAATTTTAGGGCACTAAAATTATTCCTAAATAGAGTATTACCAAGGGAGTAAGTAAACAATATGCTCCCTCACAAGCAAATTTTTTTGGCTCTTTTTTTTCACTTCCATCATCAACATGGACGCTTGACGGTACCCTTACTCACTCACTACTTTTCCTTCATCGAATCACCAAATACTCGAAAAGACATGTATCCCCGTATCTATAATTGTAATCCCAAATAATCCCTTTTTCCTATAAAAATCCTATAGATCTCGTCAAGTTAAACAAAAACGATGTTTAACCCCTCCTTTTTCACCTTTTATAGTCAGAATTATACACTTCATTTTATCTTAGTCAACATGTTATCTCAATCCTAAAAAAACTCTATTTCTCCTTTTTTCTCATTGTCGACCTCTTCCTCCCTCTCTCTCTCTGGCAATCTTCTCTCGATACTTATCTCTCTCATCTCAAGAACCCCACAAGTTAAAAGACATCACAAACTCCATTTATACGATGAAGTTATTAAAAAAAGAAAAAGCGTAAATACATTAATTTGGACAATAGAAAAGGCAAAGAGGGAGTTAAATATCTTTAAAAAAAAAAAAAATTGGGGTCTCATAAACTTTTTTTTTTTGACTAGAGGGTTATTTTAGGATAATAATTTTAGCAAGGGGGCTATTTGTTTTTTTTTCCCCTACTTTATCTACTTCATGTTTTGCACGCATAAAAATATTTGTATGAAAGTATTTTTACATAAAAAACGCCCCTATGTGATTAGATGTGAGATGTTTTTTTCACTTCAATTGATCCTGATGTATTTTTTTGTTGGGTGAGTATAACCATTAAAGGCCTTATATGTGTTTGTAATAAACATTTTGATATAATGAAATATGAACTCTGTGGAAATGTGGTATTGTGTGGATCATACTAACCAAATGATGTTTGCTGATACCAGATTAAGCTTGACGAGCTAGACCAGTCGGTTCGGAAAAACTTATGTTACTTGGGTATAGAAACTATCTGACAAGGGTTCTCATAGATTATCCCTTAATGAGTTTGAAGTATGTTCGGATGAGTGATCCGAAGGACTGTGTGATTCTTGTGTGTGATGGTGGCCTTCAGATACGAGGGCCAAAGCCTCATCCACGAGCCATCACATGGCATGCATATATGATAGTCGTTTCGGTAAAGTGAACCACTTTTTAGGGTGAAGCCTAGGCATGTGCGAGAGATACCCCAATGCGCCATAGGAGTCGTGGTCGCATTAGGTATGGGTAAACTGGGATTACGACCCCTTAGCTTATCGGCCAGACTTTGGTCACCCACTAATGAGCCCCTGTATGGACTGTGAGTCATGGGAAACACTAGGTCGGTTTGATAAAGCATGTGTGGATCGTGGTCTACAGTTGAAGGTGGAGTGCCCTAGCATTTATTTATTTATTTTCTAAATCATATGGATCATTTTCCCATATACTGAATTTAATTATGTTTGTTTTAATGATATATAATTTTTAAAATTATTATTTGAATTTTTCTAGATCTCTAGATATTTTATTTATCAAATTTAGATTTATAAAAACAGAGATACTGATTTTAGATTGATTTAAATTATTCATATTGGATTTTATGAATTTCTAAAAATTATTTAATTTCTAATTAATTTATTTTTTCATGGGAGGCTCCGTAAGCATATGGGCCCACCATTGCAATGTAGGAGGGACCCATGAGTGCCACCTATGGTAGCACAATGAAGAAAAATGTTTGTGATGATTTGGAAAGCCTTTGCTTTGACGAAGGTCTGAATTGATTTTTTGAAAGCATGAGAAGACTTGTACATTATTTTGGTATGCACAATATTATATTTAGAGTTCTTTTTTGTTAATTTCTATTAATGGAAAAATGGTTTATGAAAGGGGATAAATGTTCTAACACATTATATGACGTTGATGGTCCATCTATGAAATGGAGGTCTCAAATCTCTCACCCCACAAGTCACCTAATATCAATGGTTCATTTTCAATCTCATAAGAACAGGCAAACCAAGAAAAACCCTAATAAATTATGATATTGTTCAAAACACTACAAACAGAGATTGATTCCTACCAAAATCTCTGCATCTCTATTTTCTCTAATATCTCTCTCTATAGTTGGTAAGTTGGGGGGGACATGCTCCAACCTAGGAGTTATCTCTCTCTCTTTAAGCCTAAGGGGGCACGCCCCAACCTATAAGCTATCTCTCTCTTCCAAAGTTTTGTAAGAGGGGGACACGCCCTACCTAGATCTATCTCTCTCTTGGCATATCTTGTGGTGGTGTTGATCCTAAGGGTTGGGTTGTAGTAAGTAGATGCTATTTCTCTTGACTATTTATAGGTTTGAACTTAAGTTTGAGATTTGTGACCTAAAAGGAGTTTATAGTTCCATTTGAGGATTTGGCCTAAATTTGTTTTCTTGGTTGAGATTGAAGGTTGATCGTTGATCGTACACCATCAAATGGTGGTGACTTGGTGTGGGGTGTAAGAAGCCCGATTGAGGTAATCTCCGACACTATCTTTTTGTTTATTACCATATTTAATTATATAGTTTTTTTATTCTCAAGCATAAGAATTGTTGTTATTTTATTTGATTAAAAAAAATTAATTTCGTGGCATCAAGGTTTTTGAAGATCTCGAATTTATTAGTTTTATTTTATTTGAAGCAAAAGTTATTGTAATAAGACTACTTATAAGTGATATTTGCCAAAAAGAGTGAAAATATGAAAAATAAAAAAATATATTCCCCGACAAGATCACATTTAGTCTTTCTTTCATTTTCTACACCAATTAGTCTAAAAAAACTCATATTAATCACGTATAGAGTTATTTAAGGTATTTAATACGAAAAAACTTTCACAAGAATATTTGAATATTTTTACACATCCGCTGCAGCGTCCATGTCACTTTTCCAAATTTCATGATGCATAAGCACACTTGGTGGGAGCGGGAAATTAGATTATTAAAAGGACAATTGTTTCATGTAGGTTGGACAGCATGACTACATATGCGGTCCAAAAAGTGTAAAGCATCCATCTTAAAGATGGATGCAAGTAGGCGTTTGAGCTTAAAACAATGAAAACTAATGGTCCAAATATTTTTTTACTAGAATTATTATTTCTATTTTTACAATTTATTTATTTTTTCATATTCATGATCTTTATGCTAGAGATTACGTATCCTTCCTTAACAATCAACTAAAAAAATCCATCTAAGAAATATATTTATTAATAGGCCCGCATTTCTACGAATGCGGGCTTAGCCGCAGAAACCGGGTCCTTATTATAATCTCTGCTCTCTCTTTCAAAGATAAATGGACAGAAGCCCTCCTCTCTCACTGTGCTCCCCCTTCGCTCCATAAAGTATATATAATCAGTCGCAAAGTGGAGTTTTATTCTGAGGAAGGTTTTCTATTCTGAGGAAGGGTGGGTGTTACTTAACAAACCCTTGCACTCCCAGTACTGAACCAGAGAAACCTACCCCAGAAAAACAAGAAACAAAAGAAAACAAGAAGAAGATGATGGAGACCATGGCGATCTATAAACATAAACAACTGAAGTCCCTATTTGGAAAACCTAAGAATCCCCATTCATGGATTCCAAGTTTCAAAACCAGAGGAATTCTGCTAAAATCGTGGCTGAAGATGAAGCAGTTAGGGTACCAGCTGGTCCTAGAAGAAAAGGGGCCACTGTCCTCGAGCCATGGCTGGTTATCACAGTTTCTGGTCGATCTTACCTCGAAGAAGCAGGAAAGCATTCGATCAAGAGACGAACTGGTTTACATGCTCGCGATCTTCGAGTTCTTGATCCTGTTCTCTCCTATCCTGCAAGGATTTTAGGGAGAGAAAGAGCGATCGTGATCAATCTTGAGCATATTAAAGCCATTATAACAGCAGTTGAGGTTCTGATTTTGAATTCGAAGAATCCTTTGGCTTCTACATTTGTAGAAGACCTTCAAAATAGGATTTCAGATTCTAGTGGAATGCCCAGAAATGTAGGTCAATAACTTTTTGATAGATACAGTTACTGTTTCTTTGGAAATGATTTCATTTTGATTCAATATGATAAAATTGGATTTTTTTGGTGAAATTTTATTCTATTTTGTTGTTTTGATTTTATTTATTGTTTCTTGTTATATGTTTCTGACTATGAAAAATGGACATCTGACAACACGTCCACACCTGGTTGACACCGGCCATGATTTTAAGCTCTAGAAACCGAAATGACATGGCCAATGAGTGTCCACATCGGCCATGATTCGAATCTCTAGAAACCGAAATGAGATGCCCAATGAGTGTCCAATACCGTGTCCATATCTTGAGACATATTTTGAGTTGAGAATGTGGTGTCTCTTATTTAAAAATGCTATTTCTCATGAAAAATTTATTAATTTTATTTTTTTTCAATATTCTTCAAATAGAAGTGTCTCTTTTTTGTTTCACATCTAGTAAAACTGCTGGTGTTTCTCTCTCTCTCTCTCTCCAAGTCGTGAGACTCTATCTCACTTCTTCTTCAGTGCTCCCCTTCTTCCATTCATCTCATATTGCCCTTAGGAAGCATTCGTATGTTTAACTCATATTGCTTTTCTTCGTATTATAATAGGGATCTCATTGTTTTGGGAAGATTTCGTAATCAATCTTTGTGAAATAGGTTTCACCCCCACGTAATCCATGCACCAATGATGTCTATAACGAGACTTACGATTAGTAATTTTTTTTCTGCGGTTTGTATAAGGTTGAGGCCTAAACAATCTAAGTAAGGCGCACCTTCAAATAGTTTCAAAACATGTTGTTTGATGGCCTGAAAATTTATTTCATCTCTAATTATAAAATTCAAAATTACAAGATAGTGTAGATTGAATAGATCTATGAACACTTGAAAATCTTAAAAATTGACGGTCCAAAAAATACATTATACAAGAGGCACTATTTCTAAGACTTTAAATGTATTTTTTCTTATGTCCATACATCATGAGGTCGAGATGATTGAATTGAGGGTTTTTCAGCATCAAAACAACCTCCTCTAGTGAATTTTTGAGGTGCACCTTAATATGACTGCTTAGGGCTTCACCCTAATATAAACTTTCTCCTTTTTTTATTGTATGAAAGTAAAGGGTCCTATTATAATCCTTTATTTTGTACTGTTTAATTGTTGTATTCAACAAAGGTACACGACTTTGTTTAATCTATTTTTGTATATTTTCTTCTATGGTATTTATTATATGATTATTATATTCTTTTTATTTTAGTCTAATTTTCTTTTTCACTAGTAGTATCTCATTTAATCTATCTTAGTTTAGTTTTTCAATATTATTTTTTTTTGACAATTTGTAGTACATCTATTGTCCGAGTAAAAAGTATTTGGGTATAGTAAAAAAACTCAATTTTCTTGATGGTGTGTTGTACTTGAGTCTTTTGCCTTGACCTTTTTGATGTATTAAGTTGCGACTGTCTTCATTTGAGAAATGGATGATAAATTGCACTAAATGTTTTAATATACTCACCCAAACACTCTCTCGCACACACACATGTATATTCTATGGATGTGTTGTGTCTAGGTGACTCTTTTTAGAGTTCACGTTCCTAACGCTGGTATCTATTTCACAAATGGATACTTGTGTTTGTTTCCGTGTAACATCGGTTCCTAATTGTCTTCCATCAATTTGATTGAATTGATGAAATGTAATGTTGGTAATGTGAATTCGGTTTTATATTTGTTGTTTTGATACTCGAATGATTGTGTCCTTTTTTAGTTCCTTGATTAGCTTCCATCATTTTGATTGTCTGATGAAATTGGATTGTATTTTAAGTGAATTCAGTTTTGTAGTTATGTTTTTGATCTTTGAATGACTATCTCCTCCTAGTAGATAACAATTGTGTTTGATGTTATTTGCACCTTTCATCCTTGAATGATTCTTTTTCTTTGTTTATTCCTTGAGTATCTTCCATGATTTTGATTTCTGGCGCAATTCCATGTTGTGGGCTAGTCAAATCATCAAATCATCTCCCTCCATGTGTGTGCTTGCACGATGTGCTCTGTTCACTAAACTGTATCTTATTCTACCCTTGAAGAGAGTACTCGTGACTTGTAGAGGAGAAGTATGGAACAAATTCATTTGGCAACTTTATCATCAAGCTTGCCCCTATTTGGACCAAGGATGTGAACAAAACATACACAGCCAAACACCTTGGGAGATACATGGAACATGGGTGAGTTGGGATGAACAATTTTAGCGAAATATTTTCCCTCAAGAACACGAGAGGGCATGCGGTTTATTAAAAAGATAGCTGTGAGAACTGCTTTAGACTTGGAACTTTCATTCCCAGTAAAGAGCTTGGATGACTTCCAACAAGTATGTTTTTTCTCTTAGTTATACCATTATGTTGAGGTGTGTATGGACACATTGTTTGGAACTCAATCCCTTGGTCAAGAAGATAATCTATGAGTTTGTTTGACATATTCACCCCCATTGTCAGACCACAAGGCTTTAATTTGTGCATCATATTGAGTTTTAACCATTCTGTGACAGACTTGAAATAGATTAACAACTTCATCTTTGTGTTTGATTATATAGACAATTGTAAATCTGGAATAATCATTCACAAATGTAACAAAGAAACGAAGTCCAAACACATATGCAATTGGTGAGGAACCCCACACATTAGAGTGTATAAGAGAGAAAGGAACATCACTCTTTTTATTAATACTGATAGGGAACGAAGTTCTACAATGTTTTGACAACTCACAAATTTCACATTGCAATTGAACTTGACTCAGAGACTCAACAATTTAGGAACTGGAAAACGCAAAGTAAAAGACGATGCATGATCAGTTGGGTGTGCCATAAATATACCCTTTTTTTATTAGCAATTGAAGATGTGACTGCTGCAGTCAAGGCACGATCAGGAGTATCCAAAAAGTACAACTCTCTATTTTCACAACCATGCCCAAATGTACCTTCCGCGTCATCAAGTCTCGGAATTCGTAGTGAGAAAGGAATAATGTTGTACTGCAGTTTAGGGTCTTTGTGAGGTTATCAACTAATAGGAGGTTACTAGAAAGATTGGGAACATGCAAGGTGGATGACAAGTTAACAAAACGAGTAACATGTATGCTTCCCTTTCCCTTGATTGGAATAATAGAAATATCTGCTATTTTAACTAATTCATGACTAGAACAAGGGATATAAGAGGAGAAAAATCAGTCATACAAGTCATATGTTTAGTTGCTCTAGAATCAATAACCAAGGGTTTTAGAGCTATTTATAGAGATATGATGTACTGATGCAGATATACCTGTGCAATATGAGACTTTAAGGAGGAAGAATGGTCTCGAATGGACGCCTATTGCTTGACATCTAGGAGCTCGCTTAGGAATAGTCACCAACTCTTCTTGAGGTTCAAAGGAGGTGGTATCTTGCTGCCCTTGAGTAAGTGGGACAATACTTTCACTGATTGTTGCTGAATTTGACTTTGGAAAGTTTTGCCTCGGGCGTCCAACCAGATCCCAACATGTTTTCCTTGTGTGTCGAGTCTTCCCCCAATAAGCGCACTTTCATTTATCATTCTCATCAGATGTGGAGTTCCCACGGTCACGTCCATCACCTCGGCCTCTACCACGGCTCCCAAAACGCCCTCCACCTCGATTACCACTAACACTTGTGAATAGGACGGATCTTTAAGTTTCACCCATAGACACTGCTATTATCTTGCATCGAGTTTCTTCATGCTGAAGAAAGGAGAAAACAGTACGAAGTGATGGCACAGTCTCGCCACTGAGAACATTTGCCCTAATGGTTTTATACTCTCCATTAACTCCCCTCAAAAGATAAAAAAATCTTCCCATTGTTCCAGTCTCTCTCGCTGTTCCTTTGCACAAGAAGAACATTGTATGGGCTAATGCTGCATAGAAAATAGTATTCAATTCATAATAGCCATATCTTCATCCTCTCAATCTGCATATTTAACATCCTTTAAGTAAGGTTTTTCCACACGGTCATCAATGTATCCCAGTTTTTCTTTCCACCAAAAAAAATAGTACTGACTTGGTCAATTCTAAATAGTTTGGTTCCATCAAACCTGATTATGGTAATGTGTTCCAGATGCATCCATATTTGATGCATACAGAGACATTTTCTATTGTAGTTAAGATCCGGTTACACCCGCAGATCTTAATCAACAATGGAGATCAAGTTATACCCTTTGATCTCTTCAAATAAAAGGTTTTACAGATCTGATTACAACCTTAGATCCGATCACACTCCTTTTTTTTTTTAGAAAAATACGAAAAAAACAACACTAACAATACTTCTTTGGTTGGGGCATACAAACCCTAATCCATCCAACTATTTTTTCAAATATATACTTCATCGGCATCTAGAATCATAAAAAAAACTCACCTCCATTGGCACAAATACTGCTGGAAAAAAAGTTAGGGCACAATGTTTTAAAAGGCGGACTGCCCAGAGCTTAGGCGGTCCCGAGGGCTTGGGCGCCCCTAGGCCTAGGCGGCCCAGATAGGTGGCCTGCCCCTTGGCATCGCCTAGGCGCTACGGAACCCTCCTAAGTGGGCGAACAGGGCCTGCGCCCTCCCAGGGGCCTGGGCGCCTCACCCAGGGCCTATTTTAAATAGAGAAAAACTTCAAAAAACATGTTTCTGGGAGTCGAAGTTTTCTTTCTATTGGGCCTATTTTACATGTTCCCTCCATTAGAGCCTAGTTTAGGAAGTACAACTTTTCTTTCTACTGGGCCTCCCAGGTTTTGGGTGTTCGCCTAGGTGCCACCCCATGCTTTTTGAAACACTGTTAGGGCATGATTGCATCATCTAACTCAAAGAATGATGTCAGTCCTAAACACAATTCTTGCTCACCTTTTTGATGCTACAACTTCGTGTTATAGTAATGTGCTACAATATCATGCTACAATACCATCCTTACTGTTTTTTTTTTTGAGAGAATACCATCCTTACTGTTCGTTAGGCTCTAATACCAAGTTGAAAGTAAAGTAGAAAAGAAAACAATTTTGTCGGTTCCAGAGAGAAATGCTGGGTTTTGTGGCCTTTAAATGCTTAGAGAGCTTGTAAAAATGATATATTTAGTGGAATATGCATTTTAGTGTGTGTGTTGACTGACTAAGGGTTGGGGGTTTATGGCCTTAGTCATGTCCAAAACCTTTGGCTCTGGGCATGTAGCACTACCGAGAAGGTTTTGCAGTGGGTCATCCCTTGTTGAGGTTGGAGAGATGTGTAGGGATCATGTTTGTAGGCCAGGAGAATTATGTGGTCTTTTGTGTGAGGTTGTAGGCCTGTGAGAGCAAGGGCCAAAGCCTCAACAAACTTCCACACAGAATGTATACGTGACAACCACATGGGAACCAGCCCTAAAGAGGGACACGTGTACATGTGCATAGAGAGAGCCCCCTTTGCACTGCGGTGACAAGTGCTAGACTTGCTCTTAAAAGGGGTAACTGAACTCCACATTCCAGAATTATGGTCCTATTGTATATTATCCAACTTTGACAAGCTAATCATGGCCTCTACCCTCTTATAACATTAAGTAATAAACCTAATAACAACTATGGATTAAGACAAACCAGGAATAAACAAAAGTTAAATGACAGTTTCATCCATCAAATACAATAAAGCTTATTTCTTTTATTTTCAACATAGTGGTCTCTTTTTATGTGCAAGGAAAGCCAAATCCACTCACATCTGGCCTGTCTTCATGGTTTATTGAACTGTTTTTGCCTCTTTCTCTATTTTCCTGCATCAGTTGGCCAGCTCATCCATTTACCTGGTTAAAGATGAAGATTGATGGTGCATCCTTTGGCAACCCAGGTACCATAGGCAATGGGGTTGTTATTAGGAATCATATTAGATATCACGGCTGGTTTCTTGGCACCGATTGGGATCTATTCCAATAACATAGCTGAGTTGAATGCCTTGGAAATGCGAGTTCAGTTTGTGAAGGAACTCTATTACAACTATATAGAGATCGAGAATGACTATGTGCTATTGGTGGCCTCTATGTTAGGAACCTTCGTCCCTCCTTGACATTCTCGCACTATTATTCTAATTGCTTTTGGGGGTGTGATGCTCATTTGCTCATTCATTATGTGTATGGGGAAGCTAACCATATGGCTGATTCTCTAGCTATGAATGGGTCCAGGCTTTAGGAGGCTACAATTCTGCACTGCTTTATCTTATTGCTTGATCTCTAACTTCGGATATAGCCAAAATTCTACATCAGAGAGAGAGATGTGGAGAGAGTGCACAATAAATGTGTTAGAGGAGTTGTGTGTGGGAGAGAGTTAGAGAGAGGACACAAGTTGTAGAGGAAGAGTATAGTGAAGAGGAGTCCAATAAATGTGATGAGAGAGTGCCATAAATTCAATGTAGAGGGAGTGCCATAATGTGATGGAGAGAGAGTGCAATAAATGTGATGGAGAGAGAAGCATCTGTCTGTGTGTGTGGAGAGAGAGAGAGGACACAAACTGTTGAGGAAGTTTTTTTCTCTCATTGTTTTTTGTGTTTTTTGGGGCATTTTAAGCCAAGGTGCTCCATGCAGGTGCGCACCTAGGCATATTTGGATGTCTAGGCATGCCCTGAGGGCCCAATAGGTCCTGCCTGGGGCCTATTCCATTCAGAAGGCTACCTAAGCAGCCCCCCTAGGCGGCTGTGTGGCTAAATTTTCCTTCACTGGTAATTACCAAGTTGGTTGGTTATTGTGGTGATGGGCTAGCTACCACATTCATCGAACAATTGTACAGTGCTGGGGCTGTGGACCCTCAACGACCGGTTATGATTATCTGCTGGTATTTAGGGTGTTCTCATAATCTATCTGATGTTTTTTTTTTTTGAACATGTTAACTTGTCTTTCTGAATTCTATTTCATTTTAATTATAGATGTTCATTCCTTTTCAGTTTGTCTATCAATCATATGAATTCAATTTGGACTTGATAGCTTTCTTCGTTTTTTCTAAACAAATCTTTAATATGTTTGATATTTGAATTAATGCTTTCTCTATGTTAAAGGGTAGGGACAATGGTTCTACTGATACAAAGAACATGGACAAGTCTATGTCACAGTCCCCCGATTCTGCAGTGACAAGCCCATTAGGCGGAAGGGTGTCTTCATTAATGCTGGATGTATCAGAAAAATCATTTAGTGGTGCTTCTAAGGTGTTACCCTTTGAGTTTGTTGCACTTGAGGTTTGTCTCGAATCTGCTTGTCGATGCCTTGAATCTGAGGTATGCACTTTATATAATTTAAGTTCTTTTGTGGTATATTTTATGGTCTAGCCTTGGTATGCGGTGTGGATTGACAATGCGCTTTGTAATAAATTTTCTTCCAGATTGGTCTATAAGAGACTGTAAATATGAAAACTTATGGTTGCTAAGATCATATTTAGCAAACTTTGAGAAGCACTGGGCAATGACACATGATTCTAAAATTGTCCAACTTGTACATCTGCTTAGTTTATTTTATGGTCTAGTCTTGGTATGAGGTGTGGATTGACAATGTGCTTTGTAAAAAAATTTCTTCCAGATTGGTCTAAAAGAGACTATAAATATGAAAACTCATGTTTGATAAGATCATATATAGCAAACTTTGAGAAGCACTGGGCAATGCCTCATCATTCTAAAATTGTCCAACTTGTACATATGCTTAGTTTCAAAGAAACTGGAGTAATTTTGTTGAATGAAGTTGTTCTTGGTCATCCATAACAGAACTATCATTGGAAAAGTTGAGAAGATTGCTCAACACTATGCTGCTGTTCTTTTCTTCGTTTTTCTAAGATGCCTCTACTAAATAAATTTTTGGTGGGTCAGATTCTCTACTGTTGTTGTATGGACTATGAACTGTGTGGTAGCATTTATATATCTTGTTCCTTGCCACTTGAGGCATATAGATAATGTGATTAATAGAACATGGAAGCGGGGTTTATATCATGCCTCAGGTCATGCTTCTAAGAACCAAAGATCTTCGCGGTGGCATCATTGATCAACAAATTAAATAGAAGGTATATAATAGCGCAAGCAAGTCACAAAGAGATGCTGAGGAAGTATCTGAACTGGGAATCCTCTACAGCTGAGCAAACTAAAATTGGATCACACCACAGCCCTCATTTGCCAAAATGCCAGTTGCCTCATATTTGTTATGAGGAACATGCACAAAGAATATTGACTGTCCTAACAAATCTCCTCAAAATCGACAAGAATATGCCCCTTTCTGAGGTGCTTTTATCTCCTTTCTTACCCACCTGATAGCATTGATGTAATCTCTATCGGATAATGATGGAACCGAGCACCACCCCTTGTTACCCTAATGGCAGTTAGGATGGCCTTCATCTATATGCTAAAATGTGGTCACACATTCCCCATAAAACATATTGGGTGTTGCCTTAAAAGTGCCTCATGCCTCTAGTATGTAAAATTGCATGGCAGTTGATGATATATAAGCTAGATAAAACTGCAATTGTATGCCTTGTTAGGAGTTTCTAGTTTGGAAGCCCGTACAATAAATATATAAAAAAGGAGAACTTTAAAATAAATAATTAATAGTTATTCTTTAAAATGACATTTAGATGCAAAATTAATATTTTGAGAATATATTTATTATACTTAAAAATAAATTTACTAAAATAAGATCATAGATTAATGACTCATATGCAATGTTCAAAAAGTTGGCCGCTCGACCGCCTAGGCGGCTTTTTGGAAAAAACGCCTAGGCATTCTTAAGGTGGTTACTGTTAGGCTTCAGAACTAGGCGCCCCCGCCTAGGCGGTCGGACGGCCGATTAGGCTGTCGAAAAGGCTGTAAAAGGCGCATGCCTAGGTGGTTTGCAAGGGTATAGCGGAAAAAAAATTTCGGGTGGGGGCAAAAAAATTCATTTTACCCCCTTAAAAAACTAATATTAATTCGTAATTACTGATTTCTTGAAAATGCTTTTTGCATGTGATGGGAATTAATTTATTGGGAACCAAAAATAATAATTACGAATATGCTTTTTGCACATAACATTAATTATTAATTTATTTGGGAACCCAAGAATAATAACTACGAAAATACTTTTTGCATGTAATATTAATTGTTAATTTATTGGGAAATACAAAAAATAGTATTAATTTGTAATTACTAATTTATCGAAAATGCCTTTTGCATGTGATAGTAATTAATTTATTGGGAACCTAAAATAATAACTATGAAAATGTTTTTTGTATGTAATATTAATTATTAATTTATTGAGAAATAAAAAAATGGTATTAGTACATAATTATTAATTTATCGAAAATGCTTTTTGCATGTGATAGTAATTAATTTATTGGGAAGCCAAAAATAATAATTATGAATATGCTTTTTGCATGTAACATTAGTTATTAATTTATTGAAAAACCAAATTAATTCCTAATTACTAATTTATCGAAAATTCCTTTTGCATGTGATAGTAATTAATTTATTGGAAACCCAAAAATAATAACTAAGAAAATGCTTTTTGAATGTAATATTAATTATTAATTTATTGGGAAATCGAAAAAATAGTATTAATATGTAATTACTAATTTATCGAAAATGCCTTTTGCATATGACATTAATTAATTTATTGGGAGCTCAAAAATATTAACTACGAAAATGCTTTTTGCATGAACATTAATTATTAATTTGTTGAGAAACCAAAAGCATAGTATTAATTCATAATTACTAATTTATCGAAAATACCTTTTGCATGTGATAGTAATTAATTTATTGGGTATCCAAAAATAATAACTATGAAAATATTTTTTGCATGTAATATTAATCATTAATTTATTGGGAAACCAAAAATATAGTATTAATTCGTACTTACTAATTTATCGAAAATGCCTTTTGCATGTGATAGTAATTTATTTATTGGCAACCCAAAAATGAAACATTAATTATTAATAACTACAGAAAAAAATCACTGGCAGTTTTTGGGTCTGGGCAGCCGCCTTAGCGGCCCAGCCCCCCCCATCGCCTAGGCAGCCACCTCTGACTTATTGAACATTGCTCATATGTATTTATTTGATTCTTCTCGTACATAATAATATTATCGTACATAATAATATACTAAATGATAATATAGGATAATATTTCAGTGAAGTGATGCATAAGTCCTGCTCTTTTCTTCAAATCCCCTTTATTTCAATCAAGAAAGAAAAAATTAAAGCATGGTGTGGGTGGCATGAACATAGAAGTATACAGTGAAAAAAAGCTAGGGACAGATGGGAGATTGAACATTCCCTCTGCAATCCATATTTTTTAGAGAAATAGCGGGTCAAAATCCTATAACAAATTTGTGACAAAAGTTGGACACACGATTCCATACATTAAATGCAATTTGGGAGCATGAATTTAACATTCTTTTTGGTTGATGCAAATTTAAGAATCTCATTCCCTTTGAAAAATTTATGGAACACGGATTTGAATAATAATTGATATCCTATTTTGTTAATATACATTTATTGCTTTTATTTATGAATACACATTATTTGTTTCTTTTTTTGTTGACATTAGGGTTTTTTAAAAATTGGTGATCCGGTTCGAAATTGCCCAAGTTGGATTAGGAACCCGTGGTTCCTGGTTGGAACTAGGCATCGGTCTGTCAAGGAACCTAGCGATCTGGACCATCTTGATAGTTTGGTTCCCACATATTCCATTTTTTTATTATTTTTTCTTGTTTATTTTTTTCAATTTTTTTATTTTTATGGACCAATACTCACCCAAGAGAATTGGTCAAATTGCCCATCCGGATTGGTTTCAGGGATGGTCGGTTTAGCATTCCGGGTTTTAAGACACTGGTCGACATAATTTATTGTTATTTCCTTCCAAATATTATTAACTTGTTGATTTGACATCGATTAGGTTGGGATTGAGCTTCCCCCAACATGAGATTGGGGCTAGAATGTGATCCCCCCCGAAGAGCACTTGATAGTGTTCCCGGAGCGGGATCAACGCTCATGTAAGGAATCTTGATAACTAAAGACAATGCAAAATTTTCGCTCTTCATTTCACACATTTCCTAAATCAAGAATGTATGAATGAAATGGCGCTGAGTAAATTGAGCCAACAGCAACCAAAACAACACCCATTCTTTTTTATTTCTCCAGTTGGGGATCTTTTAAAAGATACCCAATGAATTAATCCTTTCATATATAGATAACATTAACCAATCAATTGAGAAGAGTCGATCCCCAAATGAATTAATCCTTTGAGGAGAGTCACAAATGGGTTTTAATAGTTTTCTTAACAAAGATTTTTAAAACTGTCTAGCTAAAGGCTTATATTGTTGTATTTCATCTCAAAGTGAAGAAAGTAATGTGGATGGATATATTGTGCCATCCACGTAGAATGCCATCTGAACTATCATACCTTTGCATGTTTAGTATGAATATGGGCATTGTGACCTAGAATGGACATAAAATTTAATTGGTGAAAACTGGTTGTGGGATATGGCAGAAATGCAATATGTCTATATTTAAGAAATTCATTAAAACTGTTGTTAGTGATAAAGCACAATTAGCTTCATAATCTAGTCAATGATTGATATTTATTCCTAGAGAATTCCCAAATTTGCTTTCTACTATTAAGCTATGGTAGTATCTCAGTCTGCTGGATTCTAGAACTAGTCATTCTTTCCATTAAAAATGAGGATGGCATTCCTATACTCAAAATTCTTGTGCGGGATCAATATTTAATGAAGGAAAAATTTTATATAAGGTCGAGGCCCTAAACAATCAAATTAAGGTGCACTTCAAAAATTCACTATATGAAGTTGTTTCGATGCCGAAAAACCCTAAAATCCAATCATCTCAATCTTGAGATCCAAGGACATAAAACATAGGGCTTCAAGGCTTAAAAATAGTGCATCTTGTAATGTATTATCCAGACCGTCAATTTTCAAGAGTTGCAAGTGTTCATAGATCTGTTTGATCCACACTATTTTTGAAGCTTTAAATTTTATAACTAGAGATGAAATTTTTTTTTAGGCCATCATAAAGATTTTCTATGTTGAAACAACTTCTTTCGACATTATTTAAATGTGTACTTTACTTTGATTGTTTAGGGCCTCAGCCTTATACAAACCACACCCTTTAATTAATAGGCTCCACACTGCTCTGTATCTTGGAGTCTGACTTGTTCAACATCGTCTTGATCGTCATCTGAAACTTATCCCAGCTATTTGGGGTTTGCTACAAGAATCATGTTCTGCCTTTCTGCTCTACCAAGTGCTATACCCTTAGTCAGACCATGAGTCTCCATATCTTTTCTCATTACTTCCATCCATGTCCTTGGGGGCCTTCCCCTTGCCCTTCTAATTAAACCAAATCACTCTAACTGGTGTTGTTCTTGGTCAATGCTGCACATGGCCAGGACCATGACCAGACCACCTAAGTCTACCATCCTTAGTCTCGTGGAAGCTTGAGGGTATATTTGGATAACTTAGATACTTAATTTTTTCGTATTGTGCACTTTTTTTACTTCCTGATATTATTATTGAATAAAAGAGATAATAATATCCAAAGTAGTATATTAGTGTTTGCACATCATCTTGATTGTAGAACGGGGTGGTTAGAATTACAACTGGTCAAATAAATAAAATGGACTTTTACAGTTTTTTGTGGATACACCAAAGGTACAACACCCATGTTTGTCACCTTAAAATCTTAAACACTTCTTGTTAATCTTTCTTGTTGAAATCTCAATATAAAATACTTCAATAACACCTAAATCCTTCCTCTCCCTTTATTTAGATGATGTACAAGTGTTGTGTCTAAAAATCTATTTTTGAGGTTGGTTCTTTTGACACGCTTATTCATATTAGACGATAACACACATATGCGTGTTTTTGCAACATAGCTGTTCAACAGTTTTGAATATCATTATATTTTTAACTAATGATTAGATAAAGCTTGCATCACATTGTGTCCCCTATTGCCTGTTCATAGTTGGATATTGTTCTTCATATGTCTATAGTTAGATATCATGTATTAGCTCCTTTCATTTAGGACATCTAGCTGCATCTCTCTAATCTTTATTCCTCGTCTTTTCTTTGCAGCATGCTGTTTGTTGCATCTATGGTACAAGTCATGATTTGGACATGTTAAGAACATCACATAAATATTCTCTTAAATTTTATATCAGCCTCAATAATAAAAGAATAAATGAAGAATTATGAAGCATGAAAGCTCTAAATTTGAACAATTAATCATATTGTTTTGTGATTTGTATCCTAGTTAATGTTAATTGAAATAGAAGTGCTGTTATTTTGATAAATCTTTATTCGAAGATTCTTTTTTTTTTTATTATTTTTTTATTTCTTCATTTATTCCACTCCATATTTCCTTTTGTGAATTTTCTTTCACTTTTATGTGTATCAGGCTTCTACATTGGAGCAAGAAGCATATCCTGCTTTGGATGAGTTGACATCAACAATCAGCACTCTAAATCTTGAGCGTGTTAGACAGATAAAGAGTCGTCTAGTTGCTATATCCGGACGCGTCCAGAAGGTACTTATGTCAACTAAATTTGGTTAGTTGTTCTCATAAACGGATTATGCCAAAGAAAGTTGATTATGATATTTTCTTTGCTGAATGCTTAATTATAATGTCTTTTATGATGCTTAGATACCCATATAGTAGCTTTTGAAATGCCGATTAGACATTTAGTAGAAAGGCTTCTTGTGGAATGCCATGATAGGAATGTGTGTTTACTCATAGAACTTGAAGAAACAGTAAAAGTCAGCAAGAGAGCAGCTAGGCATATGCAATTTTGGAGAAACCCTAAGGTTTCCTCCACGTAGGGCTCGAGCCTTAGGCTTCTTTTTTTTTTTTTTTTTTACAAAAAAGAGGAAGACGTGGTTCTTCTCCAACCTATCCATGGCCCTTTTCTGTATTAAAAATTTATTTTTTTGGACAATATTTGTCCTTACAATTAACTTTTGACCAAAACTCCCAAATTTTTATTAAAATATCTAAAAAGTCCCTAACTGGTTTAGAAATGAAATAAATAAATAAAATTTGAAATAGCCCCAAAACAACTAAACAAGTTATTCAAACTATTTCTTGCTCTTCTTGGAAGTAGTCCTAAGGTTTTCATCCTCCAAATATGAGCGAGAATTAGGAGGAATATGTCGCTTCCAAAGAAGATACTCGTGGCTACTCATTGTGCTCTGCTGATCATCATTCTCCTCGGGTTAAGGTGAACTCACCCTCGAGCATCTTCATCTTCATAGACCTTCGGACCATGATACTCTTACCGATCAACAATGTTGAAGACATCCGAAGTCTCCATATGTGAAGGCAAAGAGACCTTGTATGCATTGTTGCCCATCTTCTTCAAAATCTTGAATGGTCCTACTTTGCGATCATTTAGCTTGTCGTACTTTCCTACTGGATGCCGTTCCTTCCTGAGATACACTATTACCTTGTTGTACTTTCTTGCTGGATGCCGTTCCTTCCTGAGATATACTATTACCCAATCACCCATATTAAACTCTTTGAAACGACGATGCTTATCTGTTGCTTCCTTGTATTTGGCTGTATTGGCTTCTAAAGAAGTTACACACTTGTTCATGCACTCCTTTTATCTGCTCAACGAAGTCCTCAACAGTCGTGTGACCTCCCCATTGGCCTGGATAGGAACCAAGTCAAGCAAATAAGTAGGGATTTTCCCATATACCACCTCAAACGGACTTTTACCAGTAGACTTATTGCAAACATTGTTATAGGAAAACTTGGCTTGAGACAATGTTAGGTCCCATTGTTTTTCTTTTCCCTCATAATACTTCTCAAAAGATTGCCAAGGGTACGGTTTACCACTTCAATTTGGCCATCTATCTGCGGATGATAAGCACTATTAACCTGTAATCGATTGCCCAATTCCTTCCACAAAGTTCCCAAAAATGGCTGAGAAACTTCGTAGCCCAATCTGAAGTTATTGTATTTGGAATGCCATGGAACCTCACGACCTCTTTGAAGTACAAGTTAGCAACATGTGTGGCATCCAGAGTCTTCTTTCAAGGTATAAAATGAGCCGTCTTTGAGAATCTATTGACCACTACAAATATAAAATCCATACCTCTTTGAGTCCGCAGAAGTCCCAGCACAAAATCTATGTTAGCATCCTCTCATGGTGCATTAGGAATAGGAAGTGGAGAATAAAGCTTGGTATTCTAAAGCGGAAGTCCCAACACAAAATCCATGTTAGCATGCTCTCATGGTGCATTAGGAATAGGAAGTGGAGAATAAAGCATGGTATTCTTTCGTTGCCCCTTAGCTAGCTGACACGTATTACACCTCTCAACGAACCACACAACATCTCTCTTCAATTTGGCCATTAATACTTAGATTCCTTCAATACTATGGTTTTGTCTGAACTAAAATGTCTACTAAGACCTCCACCATGAAGTCTACTAACAGAGTTTCTCCAAGGGAACCTGTGGGAATACAAAGGCTATTTCCTTTAAAGAGAAATTTATCTTGAATAAGAAAATCCCCACGGAGTCTACTGCAACATTAGTCCCACATCTCCTTGAAGTCGTCATAATTTGTATAAAGATCCTTCATTAACTCGAACCCAGTAATAGTACTCATCATGGTAGTTAATAGAGTCGACCTTCTATTCAAAGCATCTGCCACTCCGTTCAGATTGCCTGCCTTATGCCGAATAACAAAAGTAAACTCCTGCAAATAAGTTACTCATCGAGCATGTCGTTGATTTAGTTTATGTTGCCCATTAATATACTTGAATGCTTCATGATCTGAGAACAAAATAAATTCCCTTTGAATTAGGTAATGCCGTCAATGCCTTAAGGCTTGAATAATAGCATAAAACTCCACATCATAAGTAGAATACCTTTAACAAGTGTCATCCAACTTCTCATTGAAGAAGGCAATAGGGCAACCTTCTTGCCTCAACATTGTACGAATTCCACATGCAAAGTAGCACAATCCAACTCGAAGACTTTATCAAAGTCTGAAAGAGCTAACACGGGAGCCTCAGTCATCTTCTGCTTCACCAACTGAAAACATTTCTCTCCTTCATCAGTCCATACAAATTCCCCCTACTTCAAACAATCTGTGATAGGTGCTATGATTGAATTGAAGCTCTTGATAAACCTCTGGTAGAAAGTAGCCAACCCATGAAAACTATGAACATCATGCACGATAGTAGGAGTAGGCCAATCCCTGATAACTGCTACCTTCCTTTGGTCAACCTTAATTCCCTCGGCTAAAACAAATTAACCAAGAAAAATCAGGCTATCTGTCATGAATTCACAATTTTTAAGATTCACTTCAAGCTATTGTTCCTTTGACATGTCAAACACCAACTGTAAGTACTCCATATGCGCTGCTCACAAATGCTGTATACTAGAATATCATCAAAGTATACCACCAAGAATTTGCCAAAGAGGCTTGAACACTTGATTCATCAATTGGGCGCATTAGAGAGGCCAAATGGCATTACCAACAACTCATAAAGGCCTTCTCGGGTTTTGAATGCAGTCTTCCACTCATCTCCGGGTCGAATACGGATCTGATGGTACCCACTCCTCAAATCTATCTTAAAAAACACGTTAGCACAAGCCAGCATATGTAACATATCATCAAGGCGTGGAATTAGGAAGCGTTGCTTAATCGTGATATTGTTAATAGCCCTACTATTCATACACATGCGCCAAGTCTCATCCTTTTTAGGCGTCAATAAGGGCAGGACAGTGCAAGGACTCATGCTTCCTAGGATGAACCCCATTTGTAGAAGCTCTGCGACCTATCACAACAACTCATCATGCTCCTTTCTGCTCATTCTGTATGGGGGCTTGTTTGGTAGGCTAGATCAAGGAGCGAGGTCTATGTGATGTTGGATTTCCCTTATGGATGGTAACCCCTTAGGTAGCTCAGCAATAATGACATCACTATAGTCCATCATTAAGGGCTCTACCTATGGTGGAAGTAAACTAACAGGCTGCTCCTCCACTAGGACCTGCAAATAATATCCCGGACTCCAATTCCTCCATAAACTCTGCCAAAGAAAGAAGGCTAGCACACCCTTCATCTGATTTAGATGCACTTTCCTTCTTATATGGACCTAAAACCACTTTTACCCCATCTTTGACAATGGAATAAGTGTTTTCAAATCCATCATGAATGGTATGCATATCATACTGCCATGGTCGACCCAGTACTAAATGATTAGCATCCATAAGCACAACATCGCCCCACACCTGATCTTTATAATGCTTTCCAATAGGAAAAGGAACTAGATTGTGCTTAGAAATTGTTATATTATTTTCGTTTTTGAACCAAGCTATCTTGTATGGTTTTGGATGGCTCTTGATCTTCAACTTCAGCTTGAGAAACAATGTTTTCATAGTTGCGCCCATCAATAATAAGATTGTAAACCTTCCCATAGGCAATGCATCGAGCGTGAAAAATATTAGTGCATAGCCAATCTGCCTCATCTACTACTTTGGGTATCACCATGTTGTGCCGGATCACCAAAGCCTCCCCATGGTCAATAAAGGTCACTTGAGGCTCTTCTCCCTTAGGCTTTTCATCATAAACAGGATATCCATCAAAGATAGCTCGTTGTCCTCCTCGAAAGACTCCTAAGCAAGGGACATAAAATTTCTATTCAGGCATTGAGAAGAAACATGACCAACCCTTGAACACTTAAAACATTTTGTGATGCTGTTGTTTGGGTGGTTTAGCCTACTAGAAACGGCCCCAATACTCGCAATTTCATGCTGTTTGGACGAATCAGCAGGTCGTGAGGACTGTCCAATTAATAAATATCCACCTTTTCCCTTAAATTCACTTCCACGGCCACTTGAGCTACCTTGGCATGTAGCCCACCTTGATGATGAATGCCTCAGTTGAGCTTCAACCTCAACTGCGAGGTTATAAGCCTTATCTAAGATCTAATGTCTCTGCAAAACCACCAAATCTTGTATAGATGATCTCAGCCCATCAGCATAGTGAGATAGGTATTGTTCCTCTCTTTCAACTACATCACTACGAGCCATCAACTTATAAAATTCATCGGTATACTCTTTTACACTCTTTTCTCCCTGACGAATATTATTCATTTTATGCTAGAGGGACTACAAATAATTTTCAGATAGGTATTTTTCTTTTAATTTCTTTTTCATATTCTCTCATGTATTAATGTTGGGCTTCCCCATTCTGTCTTTCTTCTAGCTATCGGTTGTTCCCACCATGCCGACGTGGCCTGTTTCAATTTTATAGCAATAATTTTTACCTTTTTATTTTTAGGTACCTCCTTATAATAAAAAACCCTTTTTAACATATTTAACCAATCTATAAGCTCCTCGGGATGAGGCTTACCGTCAAAATCTGGTATATGCACCTTCAAATTGACATCCCTAGAGTGATGCATGTCACGTCTAGGTCTCTGGTCACTATCCTCATCACTCGACTCCACATGTGGAGTGCAACAGTGACAATAGTTTTATTCAAGATCCTCTTGGGCATAAAGATCACTGTCT